GGGGCCCCCCGTGACCCAGACCCACCCGCAGCTCCACAGCCCGGCCTGGCCTCGGCCTGTACTGGTCCCCAGGGAGGTGCCGATGCCTGGGGCTGGAGCTGCCCCAGTGCCCCCTGGCTGCCCACTCCTGGCTGGGGCGGTGGGCCAGGCCCTGGCTGGTGAGGCCCTGCCCTGGTGGACCCCTGACCAGCCCTCCACTGCTACCAGTGCTCCTGCTCCAGGAAGCCGCCGTCCCACATGGCACCCTGACACAGAGTTTGTGGTGAGCCCTTGCTACCCACAGTGCATAGAAATACCGCCATTGTGTCCAGATACAGCAGATGCAGCCTTTTCTAACAATATATTCTTGTGAGGCAGCATGGGCCTCCAGAAGGAAAGGGCTCCTCGTAGCAGAGGTGCTGTCCTTTGTTCTCAGGAATGAACCATGCTTCTGAAGAAAGCAGGAATTGGAAACTGCCTTTTATCTTACCTTTGTTGTAGTGTATTCCCTTAAGTACATGACTCTGGTGTGCTGTATGACAATAACGCAGCTGGACCAAAAGTGAAATTTTAAAACGTCAGCTTTCTGAAATTAAGTACAGGTTTACAGCTTTTCAGACTTGAAATAGCTCTACTCTTTTGTTTCAGGCTTAGCTGAGAAAGAACTGAGATTTCCTGATGCAGATATTATCTTTACATAATAGCTTGTATCACAAATTTTCCAACAAAAATGGTGAAGGCCTTATCTGGGGATGCCTGGCTTCAATGGGGCTTCCAGCACAGTAAGTTCCAGCACAAACCATTCTGAAGCTCAGATGGCGTTAAGGATACACTTTAAGATATAGATGCATTCTCAGGTCTCTCTTTACTCTTTCTTTTCTTTTTTTTTAAAGCAAAGTTTTGAAATCGTAACAAGTAGTCTGAGGTCCATCTGGAGACTGATTAACACTGTCTCTGGGATCAAGATGTCTTCATTGCTTGACAGCTGAAGGGAAATACATTTTCTCCCTTTCAGTGTGTTTGTATATCCTGCATATTATCAGGAGCACTCTTCTGAGCTGGAGGAATTAGCGGTGGCCTCTGCAAAGCATCAGCACTTCTCTGTAGTCCCAGAGAGGGATGGTGCTTCATGATGCATCTTTTTCCAAGTAATAGTTTTGAAAGATGCATCCCATTATCCTTCCCGCTGAGGAAACCAGAGTTCTTTTCTATTTTCTGTGCCAGGACCTCCTTCCACCCATATTGCAAACTGGCAACGCACAAAGAGCAGCTAGTGGAATATCCCATTAGCTAAATGTCTTACCAAAATTAAATGCCCTACTTGTGTATTAGCCTTCATGTAACAGAACACTCTGAGTTTCATCCTTTGCTGTCTGTGCTAATTAGTAGCACCCTTTTGGTATCCAGTTCATTTTGTATTGTTTTAAATCCTAAATTTGAAGCATAACACCAGTGTTATTTTTGGACTGACAGAGCACCAGTGCATTGTAGAAGATCAATGGAGAGATTTTGGCAGTGGAGTAGGGAGCAACAGGGGCTTGTGGTGCTGCCCTTTGTGCTTGGAGTTGAGGCAGGAGTGGAGGCTTGTGATGGGGGGCAGGACTGCATGCTGCTTTCTGTCGGGCACAAGCAGTTTGCAGTTGAAGGCAGAGGAGATTTGGTTTTCGTGCATCTCTTGAGCACCGTGAAAGTGACTAACTGCTCTTTCATTCTGAAACTGAAAAAGAAGCACATCAGCTTGTGGTTCCGCTGCTAAAATCATTTGTTTCAATGGCAATTCTTGTTTCTGAATCCTGATGATAATTTGATTTTGCTGATTGTCAGTTTGGAGCGTCTGCAGACTCAGGAAAATTTCAGCAGCTTCTATCTGGCACCAGTTTTAATATCTTTCTTCATGGCTATGGGATAAGTACTTCTCTATAAAAAGAAGAATAACGCTTCTTCTGTACAGTTATATGGCAATTAAAAAAAGGCAATTATTTGGAGATTAATGGTAATGGCATTTAACTGCACTATCTACTTTACTGCTTACAGCTGACTCGTGGCACCGTCCTGAACCTACAGCTGCATAAAATGAGTGGTAGGCATCATAGTACGTAGAAACCTTGCTGAAAATAATATTGCCTCTGAAAATCAAATGACCTCTCAGGAGCCTAGTCTTAGTACTAAATTTTTATGCTGATCATATTTGTATCTTGAATTCTTACTGTCTATTGGTTCAGAAGTAGATTTGGTTGTTGCAACCTCATCCTGTCATTGCATTACTTAAATATATTAAATATTATATAAATACTTATGCATAGATGTTGTCAATAGATAATATGCATCCTCAAAATTGAGAATACAATTACATGAGTTCATAAATCAGGAAGGCATATAACATTTTGTAACGTTGATTTAAGTACCAGCCAGAAGAAGGGGCAGTGCTGATAAATAGTGTGAATAGTTAGGTTTAATTCTTTGTTAGGACAAAACAGAAGCACTGGATTCTGAATAACTTTATATTGGCTGCATTCTCTAAAAAATGATGCTCCTGACTATTTCAGGCATTTGAGCAAGCTTATATATATACTACAAGCTGAATACAAGCCCTTTCTGTTGTTAGGAAATCACATTCTTAATACTTGAAGAAAAACCCAGTCGGTACATTGGGACATTTTTTTCTTTCCCACCTTTGGCAGCATGTCTTCTATATTTCCACACTCAGGTCAGAATAATATTTGCAACTGTTGTTATCCAAACAAAGATACCTACTATTATAGATTGGTCCTGACCTGACTTCATCATACCTCAGCTCCTGCCTTCAGCTTAAATTCTTGCAGGGGCAGCTTAGGAGTTTGACTGAAGGAACCTGTTGTTTGTAATACAGCTATGAAGGGCACCATTTCATACTGTCTTGCAAGAAGAGAAGATTTATTGCGGACTTAGGAGATGTTACTTTTATGCATATTTTGGAAAATTGAAGGGAAATAAGTAGCCTTCTACCCCCCTTCCCCCTGCAGCAAAGAAATTTGACAGCTGCGAATGGAACAGGCTGAAGCTATTTTGGAGATGGATGTTTAAGTTGTACAGCATGGATGGGATTCTTTAATAAGTATTCTCTCTTTTTCTTTCATTACATGAGGTTTTGCTTTTCTTGGATCACACAAATTCTTGTAAAAATGTAACAAGCTACTATTCTGAATATGCCAAATAAGAAACAGATGGATCTCTTTAAAGAATAGTCTATCAGTAATATTAATGGGATCTCATGTTTAGGGACCAGGCACCTCCCTTTCCTCATGCCAGCCTTCTTGGCCTGAACAAAGAGGCTTTTCTAGCAATGACTTGCACATGGCAAAGGAGAAAAAGGAGGTTTTGGTAGCTACAAAATAAAGCACGGCATTTTTTCTCTTCTCACAATGTATTTTTAATGTGCTATACCCTTGGCTATTATGCACAAGGTTGTCTGTGGTGGACTGATTTAAACACAAGGCTTGACCCTGTTGTCAATGTCTCTTTCACACCACAATTCAACTGGTGTAACTCCATTGCCTCAGTGGAGTTCCTCTGACTTAAGTGTGATCCTCCCTGATGAATACCATGTAGAACTATATTCATGTGACTAAGCAAGAGCCTTCTGAATGAAGAAAATTCCAGTTGGTATAGCATACAATAGGATGTACATACTATTCCTTAGACACCAACTTATGCATTTTAGATTAGAACTTCAGGTTTTGCATTATCTTTCTGCTTTAGCTGAAGTGGCCCTCTACTCTCCTGTTCTCTTGCCTTGTGACACCTTTCTCAATAAAGAATGCTTAGCTCTGTGAATGACTAAGTACCATGTTGATGTCCATCCTCCACTTCTTCATGAACAACAGCTTCATATCACACATTACATATATATATCTGTGCTATATACTATCAAAACCTGACCTACCTGCCGTGCTGAAAGTAAGCCAGAGTAGCACCTTCGGAAATGGTTGGAGTATGCCCTTTTGAGCTTATTATAGACTTCATGAATATACTTGGTGTGTCAAGCCTTGGATTGCCTGTGAGACAGCCAAGTGGGTGAAGGCAAGCGTGAGACGGATTCTGTGATTCTTGTAGCCACCCTGGCTGCTCCCGAGGGTGTTATGGGCAAAGCATGCGAGTTGCACAAAAAATGCACTTCAGAAAAATCAAATAATAAAGCTGAGATGTTCCTTTACTGCTGTTATTTTCTGTTACTTGGGATATTTCCAAAGTTGGGTGGGTGGGATGTACAGTACTTGTTTGTTGAT